TTCCAAATCCTTAAATAGTTTGAATCTATCGTATCCTCTCCATTGCCATTACTTTTTAGTTCAGGCCTTACCCACATCTCTCCTAATCTACTGAAATAATCTCATAACTGGTAATTATCCTGTTTCCAAACCATCTTCCATAGTATTGCTGAGGCAATGTTTCAAAATACTAACCTGGTTGCTTCCTTTTTAAAACTCACCAGTGGCTTCCCTTTTCTCTGTGAATAAATTCTGGTTTCCTTGGCAAGGCATAAAGGCTGCCTATCATTTGGTCATTTGTCTATTTCCCCACCCACCATGAGTTTCAGTGAAATTAGTTCACCTGAGTTCCCCCCGAGTATACCTCACAGGCCCATTTTTATGCTGTGTCTCAGCTTCTCCCCATCCTGTCCCCCAACTCATGGCCACTTCCCACCAGTTTGTTAAGTGAGGAGACCAGTTCACTGTGAGGAGATTAAGTACATCAGCAAGTTGACCTATTTTTTTTTTTCTTTTCTCCTGAGACCCTACAGGAACAGGCAAAGAGACTCTCTGATTTTTTTCCCCCCAAATACTGGATAATGCCTTCCTTTATTACCAAGTGTCTTAGAGCACTGTTTCCAGGCTTTATAGCTAAGGAACTCATCACTCTGTGTATGTGTGTGTTATATTACATATATTCTATATTCTATATTCTACATATAGCCTCTTTCCAGAGCTCTCAATTTCAGGTTGACTCTAAATCTGAGACTGCTCAGATTTTTTTCTTTCCTCCAGATATAAGCATCTTACAAAATTTTAAGTAGACAAATACAAATGCAAGGGTGTTTTTCTTCTGGGGCAGGGTGGGGGGAGTCAAATGTCATTAAACACAAAGTAGTTGTCTTATGCTCCAAAAAGAAATGTCTTCTAATATATTGATTTTTCATTCATTTACTATGTTTTTATTTTGTTAACAAATTTTTCTTTCTTTCTTTATATGTAGTTTCTTCTGCACCCTGGTTTATCTGATCCATGAAACTAGGGACCATGCCTCAGTTTTATTTTTTCATAGAGCTCTATGTAGGCTTTTAGTAAGTGTTGGTTGGATAGAAATCATAGTGTTTTCTGCCCAGTGATGAGGTTCAAGGTCTAATGTATTTCATTTAACTGTTATGAGAATGGATTCTTTATGTGACAAAAAATTTGCAAACAGGTAAATGAGACAGGTGATTTTTGAACAGGCTTTCTGGAGTCTTTGGATGCCTCAATGGCAGCTGTGGATGGCGATGCAAAGCCCCCTGACCAGAGCTTGAGGCTTGCCACCCAAATTTCAACCAGAGCAACTCTGGGTTTTTTTCTGATTCATTTATTTGAGAGCATTTTATTCAAAACAGAATACATGTTAAAATCACACACCCATTATCACTGGAAACTACTGAAACTGATCTTTTTATCATTTTCTCTCACCTCTAAAATATTCTGATTCAATTGCCAGTTTCCACTTCAGTAAATAATTGAGCTGAAGGTACTGTTTATTAATCTGGTGTGTCTATACATTTGCTTGGGGCAAAATTGTATTCTATTTTTACTAAACTCTAATTTAAAATTCAATACTTCTTGTGCTGTATTGTCACAAAGAGAAATTATAGATATTTTTACATAATAGTGCATTAATGGAAAATATCTCAAATTAGTATCTATGGTCATCACTACACTGAAATTACAGTCTTATTAGACCTGCCTGGATCTTGATATTTGCTCTCTTAATAAAGAAGCATATGTATCACTTTGTCCCAAGTGTGTTTAAAAATATTTTGATGAATATATTTCATAGGAGTAATACCTTTTTTTACAATCTTCATGCTTTTTTAAATTGTTTTTATTTCATATTGGAGTATAGTTGATTTACAATGTTGTTAGTTTCAGGTGTACAGCAAAGTGATTCAGTTATACATATACATATATCTATACTTTTTCAGATTATTTTCCCATATAAGTTATTACAGAGTATTGAGTAGAATTCCATGTGCTATACAGCAGGTCCTTGTTGAAGTAATACCTTTAAAAAAAAAAAACTGCCTTTAAAAATATTCTAAGGAGGGGGCAGTCTATGGAGAAAGGAGATTGATGGCACAATAAAATGCTAAAAATCCCTGCTTTAGATGGTGACACAGCTGACAATTATTATTTTGAATTAAGCAGGAATATGACCACAGATGCTTTCTATACCTTTAAGCAATAGACCTCAGCAGCTGTACCTGTTTGGAAAAGATTAGAGCCATTCACCTTATGCCCTGCATTTAGTTCTGCATAGCACGACTCTCCAGAAAGTTATAACTAACCTTCCTTGAACAGGAAATAGTATTTTGGTATTCTTTTCTTTTGTTTCATCAGTTTATTTTTCTTGTGGTAGCACCACATAAATTCAACATTTATATGCTTTATTGAGAATGTTTTTTTTTTTTTCCTACCCAGGTTTCCTTCACATGTGGCTCCTAACACCACAATTTTCCTTGGTAATTCATCCTTCTCCCACCATCAGTTCTTGTGGGTTCAGTAGGGCTGCTTCCAACTGCCTCTATGATGCTGGGCAACAAGTGGGACCAGTTCCGCTTGGCAAGATTGATGGGTGTGGGACCCATCTAGAACTGATGTGAACTCAATTCTGGAATACTAATGGGAAGAGTCCCACTTCCCACTCTGGCTTCTAAGAGAGAAGGCTGAGAGCTTGACATCATCTTCCATCAAGAGGAAAGAAGCTGCCTGTGAATGGACCCAACAGAAGAAAGCAACTCAGAGGCAGGAGGGCAAGCCCTTCAGACCTCGAAGGTTTAAAACATGCAGGAAGTCAGCTCTACCACTGGACTCTTCAACTAACAGAACCTCTTGGAGGAGGTCATCCAGGGGGTATTACTGTAGTTTTATCTATGAGCTGGACCTAGGCAATTGGAAGATCCTTCCTGCCTCCTCTGTCCTCTGAATGTACATTCTGTCCACTGTTCCCACAGTGGGGCTGTTCTGAAGGACTCAGCCTTGAGAGAGCTCTGTGTGGTTGAGACCATCTGGATGGAGCACATGACTGAACCCAGTTAAGGCCTCTCTATAAAATTTTAAGATTCTGGTGGGTGGGTGCGAATATCTAATTGTCTGTTGTTCATCCCAAACAAGTTCCTTGTATGTAAGTTCCTTTGCTTATTAAATCTGATACCTACCTATCCGGAGTGATCTGCCCCTTTTTTCAGACTCTTCTTTCCCTTTGTGTAAGGGACCAGTTTGCAAACCAACAGAGCCACCAAATCTTTCTTGAGCTTGAGCCATTTTTAGTCATCTTATATCAAAAAGAATAACTATCTCAACAAAATTTATAATATAAGCTTAGTGACTCAGTGCCTTTTAAAAGGAAATAACTGATTAATTTTATGACATTATAATTATTGGTTAAATAATAACTAAGCCAGTGGGTGCCATATAACTGCTGTTTGTTTATCTCTTGTAATATAAACCTCATATACATATTTAACATTTATAGCAACCATGGATACAGTCAGCCCATTTTACAGAGTAAATATAAATAACTTCTGATGGATAGTCATTTACATACACCTACAGAGAAAACTAGGGTTATAATTTCAGTTTGTTGGACTCCAGAGTCTGTACTTTTCCATCATGCATTCTGAAAACAAAATACGCTATAACTTATTTTCTAGTGTAAATTAAATATGGACAAATGCAATCAACAACTCTCTCATTGTGTAACTTCGTACACACAAATGCTCCTCCCCCATCTCAAGATAGTTATCCATGCCTGTCTTTTCCTAATTTCCTGTTATGCAGCATTTTTTTACTTCCTAAGCATTCATTACAAAAATGTCTCAGGCTATTTTAAAAGTCGAAGCCTCAGGCTGTCCCCAGGTAGATGATGTGTTCTAGATTCTGGTGAGGAAGAGCACAATCTAAGTAAGAGGAGATAAATACTGCCTGTCTAGTCCACTAAGGCTGTTATAACAATATACTGCAGACTGGGTAGCTTACAAATAACAGAAATTTATTTCTCACAGTTCCAGAGACTGGAAGTCCAAGATCAAGCTGCGAGCACAGTCACAGTCTCACGAGGACCCTCTTCCTAATTTATAGCTGACAACTTCTCACTGTGTCCTCACAAGGTGGAAGGAGCAAAGGACTTTCTGGAGTTTCTTTTTTTAAAACATTAATCCCACTCATGACGGTTACACATCACGATTTAAGTAACCCCCAAATGCTCTACCTAATACTATCTCCTCTGGGGTTTAGGATTTCAACATATGAATTTGGGGGGACACAGATCTTCAGATCATAGCAATGCCTCTCATTGAAGCTCAGAAAACGTGTCGAGTGGCAAATGTCGAGGAGTCATTTCGTACACATTGCCCTGTTTGAAGTGTTAGAGGAACTGTGGCTAGAGCAGCACAAGTTTTAGGCACACTGGGGCTTGGGGCACCTGTAAAGTACATTTCTTGTTTGGAAAGATGAAGTACACTGTTTTGATCCTAGTGGAACTTGAATTCCCCATACATTTTCCTGGGCTTTGCTTATGCCTTTTCTCCTTTTTCCTAACCTCAAAGATATAAAATTGCCTGTATGATGCTAATTAATGAAGTAGAAACTGAGCATTCTCAATTGTCTAGGAAAATTTTGAGTTATAGTTGGGAGGCTTGTACACAGTTTAGCATTCTAGTTGAATGGAAAAAAACCCCACCTTTTTCCTGATTGCATGGAGTATGTATCATTTCTTAGTATCTGGTTCTTGGACTTTCCTGGAAGCATAATATCTGAGATCAGTACACTCAGAAGAGAATAATTGAATTTGGACCTATTTAGGAAAGTTCACAGCTCAGGAAAGATTGGTGAGGAAGTGGTGACAGGGAGCCGACTTGAATCAGTGATGTTTTTAGGAAGCAGGAGTAGAAGCTGAAGCCTTGTTGTGGATAGTTGCTGTTAAGAAGGTGGTTGGAAAAAGATATCTGCTTTTCTTCCAGGTGAACAACCCCAAGTTGGCTACCATGATAGTTTTCATTTTCTTCGGTAAGTGAATTATGCTTCCAGTTTATCTGAATTCATAACACCAATTCTCAGTGAACCAAATGCTGTCTCATCTCACTTAACTGTCAAGCTAGCAAATGTTTATAATATAAAGTATTAATTACAAATTTATACTTTAACATAGCTTCTTAATTTTGCAAAAATGTACACTTAATTTTACTCATTTATAGCTCTATAGAAAATGCACAATGTGAGAATTGCATTAACAGCTCAGGTTGTTTCTTTTTTATATATAGAATAATCCAATCACTTTAAGTAATTGATCAGGATTTATAGAATTGACATCTGTACTAGAGCCTTTTAGAAATGAAACATTCCAGTACCTATTTACAAGTTATAAGATGACAAATTTTGAATTATTATCTATTTTTCTTTGGTATTAAATTGAAATGAGATTAATTTAAGCCATTCAATTTCCCTGATTTTAGGTGTTAATATTTAATAAGAAGGAGGCAGTTAGTAGAGTAACACAACACGACATCATATGCTTCTTCACATTTCAGTCAACTTTTGTAATCTAGAGATAAAGTGTGAACTTATCTCTCTTGTCTTGGGTAGTGTGAATGCATTGTAAGATGTTAGTAAAAAATAAGGTAGACTTAAAAGTAGACTCCATGAAGATCTACTTGCTATATGTGTTATTGGAGAAGCTATTTATATTTTCATCAGCATGCAGTAGAATCTACAAATTACATTCAGAAAAAGGGATAGTTATAATTGTAGCTGAATATTAATAATTTACTCATTAAAACAAAGCCAGTGTATTTTCTGCTTACTCTCTGCTAATAGATATTGATGAATAAAGGCACACTTTTGGGCAAGAAAACAAAAAATGTTATTTCAAATTATGTTGGAAGTCAAAATAAATCTAGTCAAAGAAAATAAAGGCAAGAAAGAAGAAATCATTTATATATTTTCAGGTTTGGGGGGGTTTAAGTAATCATTATTCAAAATTGTGTTCCTTGCATTTATTGCTAAAATGTTTCCTTATTTCTATCATTTATAATAAGGAGAAATCTAGGAAACTTTAATTTTTGTAGATCAGGCCACAATATAATGAAACACAATAAATAAATTACAACCTCATTATGACCCCGATTGAAAAGATAGTGTTGGCCTCTTGTTTTCAACTTTCACTTCTAAATTAACCTAGACACTAGGTTGCATGAATAAGGGAAATCATACATAACAAACACTGTTAGGGTCAAAATTGTGCTATATGATAGGTTTAATCAATATTTCCCATAGTGCGTGCTTCAGAATATTTGTTCAACATCATTTAAATAGGCTTTGTGATACAGGAAAGTTCTGCAGCCAAAGAAATGTGAGACATAGTGAATTTTTAAAACAAAGCATTTAATAGCCTAATGAGTCTTATACATCTTTAAAGGGTGATAAAATGTGCAATATTCTCCATCTTATTTATTTTAAAATAGAACTTGTTTCTCACTTAGCATTTCAAGATGATCCTTGAAAACTCCTGGCTTAAATACATGGCCAGAAATCATAGTCAGGAATGGATAAGATTCTGGAAAGCTGAAGTTATTTTGATTTTTGTGGGCCAAACCATTGAAGTTGTTTTCCTACTTGATTCAGTATTTCTTCTGAGTGGAAGGTATGGAAAATCACGTAAAACAATCAAGATGATTATTCAACCTAAAATTTTAAATATGAAAGAAAATAAAACACATTTGGGAAAGATAATATGTAGAATTCATTAATGATCATTGCACTGAGATACAAGTGAGGTTTGATGATATACCCAGGAGACCATCACCTATAAGCTTCCCGAGAGAAGTATTCAGAAGATAATAGTGATCAATGAAAAATGAAATTCTAGTTGCTTATAAATTGACTTTCTGACATGAAATCCCTACTTCAGGATTTTTGGCAAGCTGGATTGAAATAAGTAACCTTGGGCCAGAATGGAAGTGGCTCTTTCTCTTTCTCTAGGCTTGCTAACCTAGAACAGGAGCTTGGCTAGATGAGGTTATCTGTGAACACATGAAAACACAGAAAGCTGATATGTCAATTTCCACTCTAGCCCTCAACAAGAAAAATGTGACCAAGTCACACGCATGGGCTTAATCTCCAAATGCAGTGACTCAGCCAGTAATACATATGATCCAATCAGTTTTCATGGATTCTCATTATGAGAAGAGGTTTGGAAAGAGGTAAGATTTTTTTTTAAAAAGATGTTGTGGCTTTACTTGAAGCCTATAACTCTATGCTGTGACAAGTCTTCATAATAACATCATCTTTTTAAAAATTCAAATAATTTGGCTCTGATTAAGACATAGCTTGAGGTCTCTTGACTATAGTTAATATACTGTCTCTAGAACTCAATTGTAATTTCCATATTTTTCTATGGATTGATTAAGCAAGTGTCAGTTTGTATGCTTGCAGAATTAGTTTGAGTAATTGGTACAATATACTAAATTAAGATTGCTACTTTCTTGATATTTTAAAAAACTTGCTGGAACTTTTCTCTTCTACCCAAAATAACTTGTAAATATCTGGAAGGTGTTATATTTATTTAATATTAAGAGTTATTTATATATAACTCATCCATAAAGAACGATTCAAGTTGGTTAAGTCAACATGCATTAATTGAATATGTGTGATCCATCATTGTGTTGATGATAGGGATATGATCATGAATTAATGCCTGCTGAGTAAAACCCCAGAACTCAGTGGTAAAGACAAAAATAGATATACACTTTCATTATGGAGCAATAAATGCTATAGTTGGGAAATTCCCAAGATTGTAGTGAAACAGATTAGGGGTGTTGAATTCAATTTGAATGTAGGAAAACAGGTATTGAATTCAGGGAAAATTTCCCTTAAAATAGGTAGTTATTGTGTTGCGTCTTAAATGACAAAAAAAAAAAGGGTTATTCCAGAGTAAAAAGAAAAGGAGTGACATACAGTAAATGCTGTACATTTACTGTATACAAACTATAAATGCTCGAGGACCTCCAGATTGCACATGATGAAGAATAGGAGAGTCATGCTAAAAGGAACCATCCAAAGGATGAAGCAGAGAAACGGCAGGACTAGAATGGTACATGAGGCAGATTAGGGGGTGTAAAGAACCTACTTGAATAAGATAGAACTGGAGGCAGACTGACTAACTGGTGAGTTGGTCAAATATTCAAAATGAGAATCAATGAACTATACAAGAGTGGATATGGGAGAGTAAAACTGAGGATAGAAAAGGAGCCTATCATGAACCCAAGGTTCCCAGTGTGGGTGCCATTATGAATCGTGAAATTGATGATGAAGTAGGGTGGTCCAGCAGGGAGTGGTGATGAGCAGGACACTACTGATGATAATATTGTCTGGAAGTGTGTCTGGAACATTTAGGTGGAGATAACATCATCTGTAACTGGAATACTAGAAAATAACAGGATTGAATTAGATATTTGAGAATCATCAGTCTAGATATTTTAGTTAAAGCCATAAGTACATGGAATTGTCCACAGAAAGGGTGTAAAATGAGAATAAGAAAAGTCTGAGGACAGAACCTAAGCTTCAAATATACTTTAATAGAAAAGTAAGAGGATCCTGGGAAGAATTCTAACTGTGGTCAGAAAATATCAAACAAATAAGTATCAAGAGAATTAGAAGAGAGGGTTGCCAAAAGAAAAGAGTTTCAAGAACAAAATGACAATGAAAAGTCCAATGATAAAAGTAAGGAAGATGAAGTCTTAAAACTATTAAATTTGATGTTATGGAGATGATTGGAGCATTTTTTAAAGTAGTTTCAATGGAGCAATAGAAATAACAATAAATTATAAGTTGAGAAATGAATAGGCATAAGAAAGAAAGAGGGCAAATACCGACTTTTTATTTAAGAATCTTATATAAGAGAAACAGAGATCTGTAGCTAGAGGGGAGGTTAAGATCCATTCCAGATTTGTAATGATTTTATCACATTTCGGTTTTCATAATTCTGGTCTTGATCATTAATAACTTAGTTTTGAGGTAAATAACTGCCATATTGCTGTTGTTTTTGTTGTTCTGTTATTGTTGTTATTCAAGCTGTGGGGCTATGCTTGTACAATGAGTCCACTTCCCAAACCATTGATTGCACATATTTAAGAGAACTCTGCCTAAGTGATGCAGATGGATGTAAACATGCCTGGAGAATAATGGAAGATGCCTGCAATGTGTCAGGTAAAACACCCTCTATACTAACATAAAAAGTTTAAAACACACTCAAATAATTTCTTTTTACAGAGATAAAAATAGAATTTGTTCTTTTCTTTCACTATCCTAGGAACTAAGTTTTTTCTCTAAATACCTTGGTATTCAAGTGATTTGCCTACAATTACTTATTAGTGAATTTAGATACAAAACACTGTTCTTAAATTACTCAAGGGCCCTAATGCATTGACACTGCAGGCAACTTTATGCAGGATTTCAGATTATTAATTTACTTATCTCACTAATGTTACAATTATACACATGCCTCTCAGAAGCATGGCAACAATTTTTCAAATAAAATGTTCTTTTGCTTATATGTTACTATATCAGGATAACATAGGAAGATAACATTTGTCATAATCAAACACATTATTTATTTGCATGTACATAACATGAGTTTTATATTTTTGCAACCTATACACTATTTTCCATTCCAACTGTGTCAAGAATAAGTTAAAATATATTTTTACTTTTAACTAGTCCTACATTCCAAACATTTGAGAGGAGGCCCAATGGGCAAAGAATATGAAGATTGGAAAGTCACTGTCATTTGTTTAACAGAAAAACAAAGTACTGAATATATCAAATAACTGAATATATATTGAATGAGAGCATTATAGTAAGACTCCATTCACTAAAAATGATAAAGGTATTATTTAAGGGGACATTGCCCTAATATTCTTATGATATAACTTTTCAAAACACCTTATACTAACATAAAAAGTTTTATCAACTTGTATAATGAATATGATAAAACCGTAAAAACCCAATAAACTTTCTGGCATATTCAGTAAGAGAACTCCAAAGTGAAAAAATAAAAATATATTCTTTCATGACTCACTTTGCTACTCCAACCATTTCATGAAGAATAAATTCTGTACTGCTCACAACCCTTTCCTATCTGCCTGTGCTTCCTCTTCCTCCCAAAAATGTAAGGTGGAGTGTGTTGGGTTAAGAGGCAACCACCCATAGTTCTAACAATGTCAACATTCACAATCTCCAACATCAGAGCTCCTGTCCAGCCACAGGATTTCAAGGAATTACATAGGATGTAGACAAGGAGCAAGATTTCCTTTTCTTCCCTGCCCTTGAAAGAAGTACATGCAATGTTCATACACCAAAGAAAGTTATAGGTCTCTAATCCAACATTCTCATTACAGTTCAGGAAAAGAATTTCAATTGCAAGTTTTCTCAAATAACATAATAATATTAAGATGAGAATAAAGGACAATGACAAAAAAGTCTGTTATTTGTTTTGATGATGAATCTCCTTGTTACATTTTATAAGGCAATTTAAAATATCACATTCAGCGTGTCATGAATTATAACATATTTATTGATTTCAGTATACAAATAGCAAGTCATTTGCAGTGAATGGTAAATTTGCATAATTATACCATGCATGAAGTTGAAATAGAAATATTCTCAAATACACAAATGAAATGTACTCAAGTAGTTTTATTCAGAAAACTGAATAAAAGAAAATTGTTGGGTAGATGAATATGGCCTTTTAAATTAAAACAGAACATGAAATATTGGTAATTATGAAAGATACACTATTCAATAATATTAAGTGCTTTCTAAGAGTCAGGACCACATTTTTTTCCATGATAAATTTAGAGCCACTTGCTTGTCTCTTATTATTATCTTGGAATGACATGTAAATAAAATGAGATCAAGACCAAACAGCTAATACAATTGCTAAACTGACAAAATAGCTAAGATTACAGAGCATTCTGGTCACCTTGTGTAAGGGCAGCCTTGATTATTATTAAAGAGAAAAAGTTGACATTCTAAGTGGGGACAAATCTCCTTTAAACTACAGAAAGTTTTATTGTATTTTAGAAAGTAAATATTGGGGGAGAAAACAGTAGAAATAGTTTTTTGCTTGAAAAGTCAATTATATGGACATGCTGCAGCAACCCCAGATAATTTCACTCTAATAATGAATTACTAAAATTAATACATTAAAAGCTTTGGGTAGGGGGATGCTCCTTAAAGCTTTAATGTACCTTGGATAGGAGGCCTCAAAAATTATATTCAAATTAATATCTAGAGTGTTGTATGTTTGACTGTGAAATCCAGGCAACCCCTGCAAGATGAAGGATTCATCCACCTGTAATTTAAGTATCTGGTCTTTAGCAGAAAGCAATTTCCAATTTAAAAACTGTCTCTGCTCTGATGACCTCTACTGTACCATTAAGAAATTGTTTGGAAAAAAATGCCAATGTCAAAATGAACCACATCTATGTAATTTGATGTACTCTTGTTTTTTCTGGTGACTTGATTAATTCTTCATGTAATTTAAGGTACTATGAGCTGTAGATCTCAGTAAGTGCATGACATTTTTCTGTAATGGCTAACCACAATTTCAAGTTTCATTCTATTATAATTCATTAGTATTATAGAGTCACTAGTTCAATACATATATTTGTGAGGCTCACTATGGCTTTGCACAAGACTTAAATGATAGAAGATAAATAAGGTACCATTTCTGTTGGTAAAGAATACAGGGTCTCCTGAGGAAGACCAAAGTATAACCACTTACCCAGAATAATGCTTGCCTTTGGGTAGGAGAACTTGATTATTTAATATGCATTTATTTATTGTCTACTCAAAGTGCCAGCCTGATGGTGAAGTAGTGGTAATCAAGCTTGTTGACATGTGTCCTGAGCTTACAGAAAGATTTTCTAAGAGATACGTGGGATCCAATAGTCCTAATGTAATCAATTTCCATATCCTTAGTGTCCCTATGTACGTTCTCCGGAAAGTGGTCAGCTTGGGAATGCACCTGTTTTCACAGAGTTCTCACCTCTTCTTTCAGAATCCTCCTTCCCCCACTTTATAAGAGAAAGGTTTACCTCTCATCTATCTTGAATGGTTTCATTGCCCAGCCCATCCAATCATTACTGGACAGTTTTCTGTTCCATAATTTTGCCTTTACCAGAATTTTATATAAATGGAATTATATAACATGTAGCTTTTTGAGCCAGTGTTCTTTTATTTAAAATAACATATTTGCGATTCATCAAAAAAATTGTTCTCTTTTTTGATGAGTAGTATTCCATTGTATGGTTATTCCATAAATTGGTTATCCATTCACCACTGAAAGTCATTTGCATTGTTTCCAGATTTTTAGAGATTATAAAGCTGCTATAAATAGTCACATATAAGATTTGTATGAATATAAGTTATTTCTCTTTGGTAAAAAAGTATTGGGTCATATAGTAAAGTGTATGTTTAACTTTATAATGAGCTTTAATACTGTATTTCAGATTTGAAGTCACCATAAATGTATGAAAGTTCCAGTTGCTCCACATTCTCAGAAGCACTCGTTTTTTTTGCCATTCCGAAACATATTTAATGGTATCACACTGTAGTTTTAATTTGCACTTAAATAATAATAATGTTGATCATATTTTCATGTGCTTATGTGCCACCTCTATATATTATTTGGTAAAGTCTCTCTCCAAAATTATGTAGTTTAGGTTCTATATTTAGGTCTATGATGCATTTTGAGTTAATTTTTTATATGGTGCAAGCTATGGGTCAGATATGTTCTTTTGCCATATGGATATCTAATTGTCCCACCACATTTGCTGAAGATATTTTCAATTTCACTTTTCTCAAAAGATCACTAGGCTGTATATTGCTGGCTCTACTTCCAGATTTTCTTTTCCATACCAGTTACCTATATTTCTATACTTTTGCTAATATTCCACAGTCTTATTTATTGTAATTTCATGGGATATCTTGAAATAAAGTAGCGTAATTCCTTTAATTTTTTCCCTTTAAATAATTGATTCAGCTAGTCTCCTTCTTTGCTATCCCATATAAATTTTACAATCAGTTTGTCAATGTCTACAGAAAAATCCTGCTGGCATTTTGATTTGGCTTACCTCAAAACTGTAGATCAATTTGGGTAGCACTGACATATTTACTATGTGAGTTTTCAAATCCATGAACGTGGTATATCTCTCCATGTATTTAGGACTTCTTTGATTTCTTTTATCAATATTTTGTACTTCTGAATATAACAGTTCTTACATTTTGTTAAGATTTAGATATGCTTCACTTTTTTGATGCTGTTGTAAAGGGCACTTTATTTTACATTTTAATTTTCAATTGATCATAGCTAGTATACAGAAATACAATTGACATTTTATATGGACATTTTATACTTCTAGGGGTTTTTGTTTGTTTTGTTTTTTGTAGAATCTATAGGATTTTCTACATAGATAGCCTTGTTATCTACGAATAGAGAATAAAGAGTTTTATTCTTCGCTTTCCAATCTGTAAGCCTTTATTTCTTATTCTTGCTCTATTGTTCTGAGTAGAACTTCCAGTATAATATTAAGTAGGATTGTTTGGTGTGGCCATTTTTTGCCTTTTTACCTATCTTAGGAGGGATGCATTTGGCTTTGCACAATAAAGAATGGCTTTTGCAGTAAGTTCTTTGCAGGTTCCCTTTATCAGGCTGAGGAAATTCCTTTCTATTTCTAGTTTGCTTAGAGAATTTTTTATCATGAATGGATAAGTAGATGTTAAATTTTGCAAATGCTTTTCCTGTTTCTATTGAAATGATCATATGTTTACTTCTTTAGTGGTATTTGGTAAATTTTATTGTTTATTTTTGAATGTTGGATACAGCCCTTCATTCTGAGGCTACATCCTGCTCAGTCATGATGTATTATTGTATTATTATTATTATATATTGTTGGATTCAATTTGCTAATATTTTGTTGAGGGTCTGAAATCTATGTTCATGATGCATATTGGCATGCTATTCTCTTTTATTAGAAAGTATTTGTCTGATTTTGTTGTCTGGGTAATGCTGTCTTCAAAATGAATTAGGAAGTATTTCCTTCTCCTCTAAATTCTAGAATAATATACAAAGAATTGACATTATTTTTTCCTTAAGTGTTTAATTCAATTTATCAATGAAGATATCTGTGCTGCTCTTCACTGGAAGGTTTTTAAATGTTCAGTGTGTTTGTTTCAAGACTGTTCTATTTCTTCTTTTGTAGTTTGCCTTTCAGTGAATTTGAAAGATATTTGTTGGATTTATGTTGAATTTTAACTTTTAGAGTTTCCATTTTACCCTTTCTTTTAGTTTCTATCACTCTGCTAAGTTGTTCTTAATATTCCCAAGTTGTCCTTTAAAAGTCTGACGAAGTTCAGGTGATGTCTTCAGTTTTGTTCAAGTACTGGATATTTGTGCCCTTCTTTCTCTCTCTTTCTGTGTCTGTTTCTCTGTATTTATCTCTCTGTCTCTGTCTTTTTTCTCTCAGTGTTTCTCTCTCAATTTTGCTCTACATTATTTCTTTTGCATTTGATTTGACTTGAAATTGATCCTCACTTTTTAGTTTCTTAAGATGGAATCTTATCAGCGATGTAAGCATCTCATTACATGAATTTCCTTCCAAGTGCTATTTTAGTCACATCTACTAATTTTAATATCTTGTGTTTTCATTTTTATTTATTTCAAAATATTTTCATATTTCCCTTCTGACTTTTTTTTTTTTTTGCTGTACACAGGCCTCTCACTGTTGTGGCCTCTCCTGTTGAGGAGCACAGGCTCCAGACGCACAGGCTCAGTGGCCATGGCTCACGGACCTAGGCACTCCACGGCATGTGGGATCTTCCTGGGCCAGGGCACAAACCCGTGTCCCCTGCATTGGCAGGCGGACTCTCAACCACAGCGCCACCAGGGAAGCCACTGACTTTCTTTTTGATTCAAGGTTTATTCATAATACTATTGTTTAATTTCCAAATATTTGAAGATTTCTTAGATATCTTTGTTAATCATCTAATTCCAATAACATTAGAGAACATATTTTGTATGGTCTCAATTCTTAATGAAAATGATAACTGCTTAATATCACCTATACAATGTGATACACGTGAGGTGATACACGTGAGATTATACGCACACAATTACACACTTAAAGTTATACAGGAAGAAATAATGGAGACTTAGAAGCCTTCATAGAAGAAATAACAGACTTGGGCTTTTTAGGGTGAACTGGGCTCAATAGAGAGATGAAATAAAATGGATGTTCTAGACAGAGGAAGTAGAATGAAGCAGAAGACATTGGAGAGCAACATGTTCTTGGTAAAGCTGGATTATAGAACAGAGGAGTCTTAGGAGATACTGGAAAGAAACCAGATGTTAATAAGAAGGAGGAACTTATTAAAATTACATATCTTTCTAAGGAGATTAGACTTCAAACTGTTGTTTTGAGGAACTACTAATGCATTTTAAACAGAAGACTACAGAATCAGTATTTTGAAGGATATCGTTTGTTGGCAGTGGTGTAAAGGATGGAATGGAGGCAGGGAAGGATGCAGGCCAGGGATATCAGCTAAAAAGTCATCAAAAGAGTTTGGGAGAGAGATGACTCATGCCTAAACTACCACACTGGTGCTGAGGACTGTAAGGATAAGAGATATTTAAGAAATATTTGTAAATTACAATCAATAGTAATTGGTTTTCATTGGGTATGAGGAGTATGGAATGTTGTTAAATGTGTGGCAGAAGCTGCTGGCTTGGGACAAGGGTATTGCTATACACAGAGACAGGACTGGGGACAGAAGTGGTGAGTTATATTTGAAGAGTTTGCATTGGGAGGGCACACTATGGCACATTCATGTTAGAAATGTTAGTATTTTTTTTTACATTTCACATGATGAATATATAGTTTAAAAAAAGCAATGATGGAGTGGACCTCATCTGGCTGGCATTTGGAAACATGGGTCTCGCACTGAGGAGAGTATCCTAAAATGGACATATAGATTTGGGAGTCAATGGTTTGTAAGAAACAGATACAAGCATGCAGGGGGATAAGACTGGCCAGGAAAAGATTATGACGTGAGAATATAAGTATTTTGATAACAACGTTTGCAATCTAGTTGATGAAACCACAAGGAAGTTTTTAAAGACAGGAAAAACAAAAACTACAGGAAGAATTTTGAAGCCAGTGAAAGAGAGAAAGACACAGAGGAAATAATCGACAATTATAAATGCAGAGAAGTCAAATAGGATAGAGACTAAAATGACATTAATTAGCTAATGAGTAGGTCTTTACTAGTTTTAGGTTGAAGTAGGCTGAAACGAAAGCGTATAGAAATACTAAAAATATTTATTGACTTTGTTTTCAAGACAGTAGGGCTAGTTCATTTATATCTCAATGACCATTTCTATCAGACCAAGATGCTGGCAAAATATAGTTACCAGCCACAGGTACATACAAATTTAGAGCAGTTAAACTGAAATCAGTTCACATTTAAACCATTTTTTTCCATAATAAATACTTGTTAAATGCTATTCTGTGGTAATGTTGATAAGCCAGGAACATAGAAACCCTGTACAGAGGACCTGAATGATCTCACAAATGCAATTCTTGATGGACCTGGCCTGATCATGGTGTTTACCCAGAGCATCAGCTGCTTGCTTATAATTTAGCTCAGAGTGGAAAAGGAAATGATAATTGAAATATTATTTCATCTTTTTTCAACTGTAGCATCCTCCACCAGCTCTTTGGTCATCACTCCAACAAGATACAATGCCTCTCTCTCTCTCTCTCTCTCCCCCTTGCATTCCCAAAACATTTCTCAACATATAACAGACGTGCACTTTTCTATTCTTTATTATAGATTGTGAACTTCTTGAGCAAATCAGCTGTGACATTTCTTCCTTTTTTTTCTTAATATGATAAATTTTCAACATATTGCCTGACACCTAGTAACTGATCAATAAATATATCATTTATTTTTAATTTTAAACACATTTTGAGCATCTAAATTATATATTCATTCATAAGATATTTATTATTCAGTTAATATGTGTAGATATCATATAAATGCTGAAGAATGGAAATAAAGATGGGTTAAGACAGTCCCTGCTCTTGGTTAGCTAAAAACATAGCAGAGTAAAATTGGCATTTAGCCAGATTATTTCATTTAGCCTTGATTATTAAATGTAAATATATATATAAATACTCATACATATATATGTACTGTAAAAGAGATTGACATTTAGACAGATTTACAGATTATTTCAAAATATATAATTACCACTATAATAGAACTAATCACATGAGGATGGCATTAATTCACATACATCTCATCCACACAAGCCTGCATATGCTGGCCAAAAGGGGTGGGAGAGATGTTCTCTGTTCCAGTAGAGAAGCCTGATTTAAATAATTATAGCAATCCATGTGAGCTGTTCTTTGATAAATGTGCAAAACTTTGTCACAGTGTGTGTCTCCAAACCCATGCTGTACAGAGGCTGTACTCTGAACAGTGCTTCTAAGAATGCCCTGGCAGTTTTTAAGTAAACATTTTCATATCATGAAATAGATTATATTATCTTTATCTTGCATGAGGCATTTGTAAAAACCAAGGTACAAGAAAGCTCATTTAATAAACAAAAGAGAACAACTTTTTTTTTTTTTTAAGAGAAGAATACCCCAGGGGAAAAAGTTACTTTGGGAAGAATGGTAGGGTCAAGGAAGTTTTCATTGTGGAGATCCACATGAAGGACCTCAGAGGAAGATGAGACATTTTAGAATTAGACAGTATACTTCTGAAAGCTTAGGTTAAGCAAGTAAGGATTCTTATATTGAGGTTGTTTTTCTTATCTTTTATCTATAAAGTTTATATAATTATGTGCTTATTGGAACTCTCTAGTAGAACATGCGTTCTCTATGAGGATATAACCCCCAAGGGGTGAAAATTGGTTCTTAGGGGTGAGCAAAAAACCTCTCACTTATATATAAAGCATAGATATACATAGTCCCTAAACAGATGCACGATATAGCTATGGAATTAAAATTTCACGATGGGGTAAGGGAATTAGGAAAAAGCTGTCTAAAAATGCTTCTTAAAGGGGAAATAATGAAAAACTGTGGAGAAACACTTTAGTATAGGTAAATTTCTAGGATAAAATGGAAATTCACAAAATTTTATAGAAGAGAAATAATGGATTATAAATATTTTAAGTTACACATTATTTCTACCAATCATCATCAAGATGTAATGAAAAGATGAAATAAATGAGGATAAAATATTAAATGAAATTGAGCATTACCATTATGTTTAGTTACATAAACTATAAATAATCAATATTTTTCTTTCAATTTTTAAAAAAAAATCAAGATCATTTGTAATAGCTCTCTTGCAATATTTTTTAATGGTTTTTGAAAGACAATAGATATTGGTATATTTATAAAAGATATGTCTATACACTTTTTAGAAAACATTAAAAGGTCATAATATTTAATTTTTAGTCATTTTTTTATTTATAGAAGAATCAGCACTGTCCTCATATTTGGCTGCACAATCCAACATCACACAACGGCTCCATCAGAAAGATATGTCATTAATGATTGAAAAAAAGAGCTACTGTGTCATGGCAGCACGTGTCTGCCAGGAATCTGAACATTGTGCTCCTTTGTATGAAAATTTTAAGAAAGCCTGTGGGAGGGAATCAGAGCAATGCAAAACCCTTGATGGAAGCTACCTGTGTGCAGCGTTAAGAGAAAGTCTGAAAGAAACAATCTTGTGGAATTGTCAATGCAATGACTCTTCAGAAGCAAAATGCATTGAAATTTGGAAAAGCTTGTTTGAGGACATTTGTATACAGGATGCTCAGATGAATCCAGTTCCAGCCTTTCGTGAAGACAATGAAGATGAATTCAACCTAGACGTTGTTTCAGGTCAGTATTCAAGGGAGGAATTTAGGAACCTTAAGTATAATCACAAATATGAGTTGACTAAAGACTTTGTTCTGACATTTCTGCCTGTGTTTCTCTTAGACAATGAAAATTAAAAAACGTAATACTATGACTATGTCTAAAAGGGATTATGAAGAAAGACATAAATGCTAAAAGGTTTTAGAATAATGTGAATTTTATTCATTCATTTATTCATTCATTGAACAAATACTTATGAGACATTGACAATGTGTTAAGTCTTAAGTCTGGTGCAGCAGGATCAAAACAACAACAACAAAACTGTCCTTCATTTAAGAAGCTTCCTATTTTTTAGGGGATTTAAAAAATTAAAGAAATAGATAACGTAGTAAGGGATGATGATTTATTTACTTAATAGATATTTCTTTGAGTGCCTACCATGTCCTAGGCCATGTTCTAAGACCTGGGGAAAAAGCAGTAAGAAAAGCAAACAAAAATCACAAAAACCATTGCTCTCTAGGGCTTTACATTCTCAGTTGAGGAGTGTCTTGTTGAGTTTCCCTGGAAACAGACTCTGAGACAGAGGTTTGCATACGGAGTAGTACTGGACTGAGGGCTCAGGAACAAAATCTAGAAGTGAGAAAAACAGGGTTAGGTGGAGGGAGAAATTGAAAGGCAAGACAATGACCACAACAAACAGTTGATTCCACAAGATGTTTGGCTCTGTAATGGCCTTTTAGAGATGTCGCCCATTGAGACACGGGAGCTGCTCCTTTGAGCCCCTCTCATGGACTAGCCCTTAGATTGGAGCTGTCCCCTAGAAAAGTCTGCCCCCTTGGATGTGACAACTTCCTTTCGATGAGGCAATGCTGGAAAAGGATCAGCAGATGGGGAAATGAATACTGGGATCACCAAAAGGGGGGGTCTTAGTAGTAGGCTGTAACATCCATTAAGAAGAAATTAATAGGATAAAAGATTTGAAGATGTATATTTTAAACAGTATGAGTGCTACCAAAGGGGAAACATGGGGGGTGGGGAGCAATAAATTAGGATCTTGGGATTAACATACACACAGTACTATATATAAAATAGATAACCAACAAGGACCTATTGTATAGCACCTGGAATTCTACTCAATAGTCTGTAATGGCCTATATGGGAAAAGAACCTGGAAAAGAATGAGTATATGTATATGTATAACTGAATCACTTTGCTGTGAGGCAGAAACTAACACAACATTTTAAATCAACTATACTCCAATAAAATTAAAAAAAACAAAACAAAATAAACAGTGTGAGTGTTAAGGAGAAAAATAATACAGGTAGGGGAAAAAAGAAGTCTGAGTTTTTGGTTTGTAATTTTAATAGGATGGCCAGAAAGTTGATCTGAAGAAATTAATGTTTGAGTAAAGATGGAAAGAGGCAA